GATAGCCTAAACATCCTCAAGAAATTTACAACCAATTAAAGAGAAACAAAATTAGGTTGTTATAACTAAGTGTGATAAATACAATGACAAATGTATGCACAAAATTTTATGAAACAAACTGAGAAGAGACATGTGTGTTCCCCAGGAAAGGATTTCTAAATGAGATGACATTTAAAATGAAATTTAAAATAAAAATAGGGCTTTTTCCCCAGGGAAAATAAGTTATTTATGGCAAAGGAGAATGATCATAAGTGAACTACAAATATTAAAATTTCCCTGGATAATTAATTTCAAATTGCGAGACATGATAGATAAGAGACTGGAAAGGAAGAGAGGAGACATGTGCAGGGCTTGGGGTAAGCCATTTTAAGGGGTCTTCAACAGATCTTTTAGAAAATAGGGATTCACTGAAGGTCTTTATCTGAGCAGCAACATGGACAAATTAGTCTTTAAATCAATCACCTCAGGTCTTATGTGGATAATAAATTGCAGATTGAAAGAAGCTAAAGAAAAACTGGTGAAGTCAGTGGAAGGGAACAACTGTAAAACGTCAGATGATGTAAAATGAGGTCTTGATATAGGTATACACAGAGAAGTGGGGTGGATTTACAGACATTATAGAGAAAAAAGCAAACAGTAACTTTAATGGATTGAAAGTAGGGATAAAGATGAGTAAGAAATAAGTCTATTTCCATACTTCTTATTTTGCAATGGGAAGAAAACTGTGCTACAAACTAAAATAATTTGGGAAAAATATTCACTTGAAGTATTTAGTTTGAGATAACTATGGGTAATCAAGCTAGTGACACCCAACACACTTGAGGTACATAAATATCATGCATGATGGAGTCAGGGTTGAAAATTCATCCATTCATTCAATTATTATTAAGTGAATAGAAGGTGCCAGGCACTATTCTATATGATTGTTTTTGACCACAAACACCAAACACACAGACTTGTAATGGAAGTAGAGCTTAAATGAACAACCTAATGAAAAATAACAACAATAATAACAACAAAAATAACAACAATAATAACAAAAAAATCATTTGGGGGGTGTTATTTCAGATAAGCTAGTTAGGAGAGGTAGGGGATCTAGATAGAAATGGATTAAAAGGATGCAAAGGAGAAAAAGTCTAGAGAGAGGATGGGAGGGGATGGGAGAGGAGCAAAGAAAGGAAAAATAAAAGTGTGACAGGTTAAAGAAGTGAATCAAGGGCCTCCCCGGTGGCGCAGCGGTTGAGCGCTGGGTTGCGAAGCTGCCCGCAGCCTCTGCAGCACCGGTTCAATCCCCGGCTGCTCCCCAGCCACCAGAGGAGGGTCCCACATGGCGCGCAGACCTCTCCTGCCGCCTGCTGCTCCCCTCAGCAGTGTACTTCAGTCCTTCTGCCTGCTCTGCTCCCCGCTCTGGCTCTGGTGAATTCTCTCACCCTCCCATGCTTCTGACTGTACCCAGTGCTTGTATAAATAAATAAAAATAAATCTTAAAAAAAAAAAAAGAAGTGAATCAAAGACTATTCTCATTGTTTAGTGAAAAGTGAAATTTCTCTCAAGGGTTAATATTATCTGCTGGATAACTTTTTATTTTTTTTTTCTAAAATAACTAAATCTATCAGGGTTAAATAACAAGTGACAAAAATAGGTACAGCAATTTTTTTTTAAACATTATGGAACATCTCTAGATACGTCAAAGAGTACAAAATACATGATATAAGCATATCATACACTCTTTTATCAAAAGAAGGCTAACATACCTAAAACAGTCAGCTAACAAAATTACCACTATATAGTTAAGAATTTATCTTTGTAATACTGAGCATAAATATATAAAAAGTTACATTCTTTATTCTAGGTGTTGCATATGTACACAAATTCATATAAATGTTATTTCTGCATACATCTCTAGACATTGGTTAAAGTTTGTGTGTCTCATAAACTTCAAAGCAATTTTGTGCCCATTGTAGTCATTGAAGGCCAACTTTAATTAGAGACATAAATATCAAATATTTTCTTATATATGTATTGAAAAATGCAATATTTCTAAATGCATGCAATACATCACATTTTATTATTTTGCTCTAAGTTCCAATTACAAACTTAAAATACAGTAACAAATCAGAAATGACTGAAAACAAAATTAGATATGTCATTTTCTTCACATAGCCCTCCTTTGAATAGCTGATGGGGACACAAGCTACAAAGAGCTTCATGGACTTTTTTTCTTACAAGGAGAAATGCTATGTCACTTGTTACATACAGATAAGATGATGTGGTCTAACTGTGTTGAATTGATTACATGGAACTATAAGAGAGCATTACTGCAAAAAAAAAAAAGATTTACTAAAGCAATTGATTTATGTTTAAGAGAAACTATCAATTTTATTTTGTTGTATTTTAAAAGATAGAATGTAGTAGGGTATTGGTGAATTTGTATTGTTTAGTTTCAGCTTTTGTTTTTCCATGTGAGGTTCAATAGGATTTTAATAGATAAGAACAGATAGGTACTTTCTTAGCCAAAAGGCTGAGAAGCAATTAGACTTTTTGATTTATTAATAAACTTGATTGTTCCCTACAAATGACTAAGCTTCTCTTGTGGCAAGTATGTTGTAAGTATGCTAAGATCATCTGTTTTCATTTGTAACATAATTACCCTACATTACTTACACTGGATTTCTAAGTATTATCATCTTCTGACACATTTTTTTTCCATAAAGTTTCATGGAATTTGTCTTCTTATTAATTCTCTGTTATAAATGATCTTTTAGTGCCATGAAAAAAGAAATATGGAAACGTAAAGGAAAAAATATGCCTATGCAGGAGTTTTGGTCTAGTCATTAATATTGTGAACCATGTATGAGATCAGAATAATTTATATTCCCAGAAAAAAATTATTAAAAGATTATCTTCTGATCTTGAAGTAATAAAATTGAAATGGCTAGTTCATATTATATTTTTATATTATAATATGTTTTCATATTATATTTTGTGTGTCTGTTAAGCAAACTTCACATTCACAAATAAGCATGCTATACTGCCTGCTGAGATGCGCAGATGGGAAGAAAGGATTGAAAATATTCTGAAAAGAGAAAAAAAAAGCACATGTAAAAAAAAACAAATAAGCAATTATGTTGTACTGAGTGTAGATAATAAAGATGCACTATTATAACCATCCAGCTACTAAAGCACTTTGACTAATTCTTTTACAAATTGTTCAGTGATTTAAAAGGTTTAAAAATTGATAAAGGATAAAATTTTCAAATTTTTATGTATGAATTATTGAGGAAATAAGTTATCAAAGAAAGAAACAAACATAAATAGATATAGATAGTGTACAGATAGGAAGACAGAGATTAAGAAGTAAATCTGAAAAAAGAAAAAGGACTTCATCTCAAGTATGTTCTAGAATGTCATTCCAAGGAATGTCAGACATAACTGTAATTTTATCTATTAACTCAAAAGTAAGTTTGTTTTCTCATAAAAATGGCATTTACCAATTTGGTTATAATTGTTAGAATTACCATTAAGCAAACAGTCCCCAAATAATTCTACCTTCTTTCAGTTATTGTACAATCACTTCTCTATGCATCCATCTCTCTAAAAGCAATTTTTCATTTTTTCCTTCTTGTTATTTGTTTTATAGAGGAAAAGATCTCAAGTAATCAGACATATATGCAATCATTTTTAATATGAGGACAAAAATAGGTACAACGTAATGCAAATCCCTAGGGTCATAACTTTCAAAAGTTTTTGAATCCTAATTGTGATATGTAATATTAAAAATAAAGCATTTTCACTAAAAGAGTGCTATAGATTCTACTCAAAAATTTTTATCATTCATATAGTAACAGCTTTATTATGAACTTGAGTTCACATACAAATTTAGAATGGCAATTACACTTAAGATAAACTCATTAAAATATTAAATTATCATGTTTTAGATAGCCACTATCTGAAATTCCAGAAGGTATTTAAACATGTAACATGCGTCCCAAATGAATAATCTTTTTTTTAAGTAGATGCAATGCCCATATTTCCAGTTCACATATAATGCAGAAGTTATATCATTTCCTGAAAAATCAACAGAAAACCTGGGTCAAGGAATATTGAAAGGCATGACTATCTCAGAGGTAAGTTTCAGAGTGGTTGCTAAAGCCTCCCCAGCTTTTCACCTTACTGAGCGCACATACTTTTTCCAGCTTCAGATAAAGTTGCTGGAGGTTAGCTAAACCATGCAGAGTGCATGAGAGACCTACTTTGTCCTTTTCTCTTTACTCTTGTGATGAAGGTATTTTGTCTCTTTAGCTCTAGAAAACAGAAATATTTGGAAGTTTAAAAATGATCACATTCCCATCCCTCTATCCATCCATCACTGAATTCTTCTTCCAGCAAAAACACAAGTCAGATTGACAGGGAAATTATATTTCTGAGTATGGCTGTATGAGGGGGAGAGATTTCATTTGCGGAGGTCACTAATGGAAAATTCCATTTATAACTAAAGAAAAAAAAAAAAAGGGAAAGCCTTTGCATTTATTTATGCATAGCCTTTTCAGATCACCAAACTCCAAGACACACAAATACCCATTAATACTTAACTAAATAGAAAATTTCCATAGGCTTTCACTAAATGACAGTGCATATATCCATATATAACAACTACAGGCTATACGCCTTGGACAGAAAATAATTTCCCCTTCTCCATTGCAAACTTTGTTTAAAGCACTAAATACACATCAAGACCTCTGTCAATGACAGCAGAAGGTTCTAGGCACTATTTGTTTCATAATCCCGTATCTAGCTGACTCTTTACTTCTCTGCAGCTCAAGTTGCCAGCAAATGCTGAATTGGAGCCTAAGAGTCAATTCTTGTTTGGATAACAAATTCCCCGCAAAATATCCCCCCAAACCCCCAGGAGCTGTAGTGATGTCATATCCGTTGTCCAGGTCTCCACACCTCTGTGCACAGTTATTTCCTTTATCTTTTTTCTTGGGTCAAAACTTTTGAGGTGGGTTGGCTAGATAGCAGCAGGAGAGAGGGTGAACTGGGGCGCACGGGTTGGAGGCACTTCAGCCTCGGTCAGCGCCCACTGCAGCCCAGCCCATCCTCTCAGCTCGCGACTCCCAGCTCTGAGAATGCCTGCAGAATGATCGCCCCCCAGGGCGGCTGCTGCTGCTACTGTTACGGCTCCTGTTACCGCCTGCGTCTCCACTCTGCTCTGACTGGCAGGCGGAAAGTGCAACTGACGAGGAAAAGGTCTCTGCAGTGAGAGTGGAGTGGCTCCATAAAAGAGAGTAAAGAGGAGGAAAAAAACCCAGATCAGAATGCAGGCGACATCCAACCTACTCAATCTCCTGCTGCTGTCTTTGCTCGCTGGATTAGATCCTTCCAAGGTAGGAGCAATATTTTAACTCTTGTTTGAAATGAATGTGCAATATGGAGCAAACAGACCCAAAAATGCAAATAAAGATGCAAAAAAAAATTAAAAGGCAGCACGAGAGAGAGCTCTTCTAGCTATCTTGTGGTGCCTGGCGTACCCCCACTGCTTGGAAATAGCAAGGTGAACTACCGGAGGAGCAGCTCCTCAAGGTAGAGTCTTGGGGAGAGAGGGGGGAGGGACCAGGAGCAAATATAATGTGCTTGGGCAGCCGGCTATGCGGCTCTCTGGGGAATTTAGCTTATTCTATATCCAAGTGTTTATGTTGTCTTCTGAAGTCAGATGGGTAATGCAAAGGAGTTAGCAGGTGAAACAATACCATTTGTAAACATGTATGAGGAGATGCAAATGGGGAGCTGTTCCTTTGTTGAAAGCACAGAAGCGTTTTTTCCAGCAGATCTTGGTCAATAATACACCCGTCGCCGACGTGCTGCGGTTTGTGTCCAAAACATTTGGGATGCTGCTTGTAACACACACAGGCAGAGCAGCAGAGCTCTACTCTCAGCCCTTTGCTGAGAGGCTTTGCTGAGGGGGCCTGTGTTTATTTGCTTTCTTCCTGTTATTAAGAAAATTAGGGGGGCCCTGAGGAAGTTCTGATGAGCAGGGTTAAGAAACAGAAAGTGAGAACCCCAGGAAAGTAAGCAGGGCATTAGGAAGGATGAGTTTTTCTTCTAGCTGTTGAACTCTGAAAATGATCCAGTACTGGCAATTAAAGTGAACGCTAAGCTTTTTGATGATTTTTTTTTTAAAAGGTAGAAAAATATAGAGAAATATTTTGAGCAGTGTGTGAGATAAAGTGAGGTAATTGGTGGTAATTTGTTCAGCATTCTAGAGCGTGGTATTTATCTGGAGTAAGAGACAAGGCATCTACCTGGTCCAAAGAGTAAGAGATGCAATTCCTTTGTTATCTTACTTATTTAACTGGTCAAGAGCAATTTGACACAACTGGAAAAATGATGCCTTGTTACAAAACCGTTTTAAGCTGTATTTTGCAATATAGTATAGTTGCTTTAAAAGCTTTACATCATCTGTATGTAGAGAAATTAAGTGTCTTTCATAATCAAATAGAACTAAGATGAAACCAGTCATAACCTAATACTGTGGCTGACTCAATGTTTTTAGGCTTAAGAAGTATACACTGAAAGCTTTGACTCATGTCATATATACTTATTATAATTTCTATGTACTTTTCCTATTTAGAGTTACCTGATGAGAATAAAAATCATTTCACTTTAAAGGTATGGTGGTGCTGAGAGTGTCACTGTGAAATCTTCATACATCTTAATGATATTAATGGGCTATTTTACATACTAAAGGGTAGTTTGAAAGCATTTTGACTGCACATCTAGGTAACTGCTAATTTTTTTCTTATAATTTGTAAATCTTTTACTTTCTTTTTTGGTCTCTGCATCTATGGTGACACATTCCACCACCAATCTCAGTATGTTATGTTGGTTACAACTTTTGAAAACACTATATATCTCAATTTTAAAGAGCAATACTAATTAGTAAGTCACAGAAGGAAAAAAATTTGACTGAATGTCACTATTTTTTATTCTTTAAAATAAATTCAAAAATGTAGATTTTTATTAACAATTGCATGCAATTTGACTTGTCTGATATTTTTAATGCATAAATATCTTCACTTCTTGCACCCAAGTTAGATAAATAAAAACCAAGAAGAGCTTCTGTTAAATATGGAGGTAAATCCTCCAAAATAAGCCAATATGATCTTTTCTACTATTGATAAGTTTATTTCTGTATTCAACAATATAAGACTTTTTGTCAGACTTAACAGTGGCTATTTGGTACAACTAAGGAGAAATCCTGGGAAGGAAAGGCATACATTAACTTTTCAAACAGTCCTTTTCAGCATCTAGATACTGCAATACAATGTGCAAAGAACAGAAGATGGTATTTTGTTTTACATCACATAGACTTTATAGAGAATATAAAAATAGTCACACAAGTAATTTTAACATCGCGGAAAGTTTCTGGACAAAATCAACAAAACTTTGTTATAAAAAGTGAATAAAAGCTTCTTTTGCATATTTTTATCAAACTATTGTCTTCAAAATATATTGTCCCCATCACAAATGGCACGATTTTCAAGCTAAGACAATTAGGTTATGAACTACTAATTTTTTTCAATTTCTATTTACTGTTGTACCAACTATGTAAGTGTTTAGAAAATAAAATTAGCATTCATAATGTAAGTAAGTTTGGAAAATTAAAATCCCAATATATAGTACACACAGGTTTTGGGCAAATAAGTAATTATTTTAAATGATAACACTTAAGTTTATGGAAATCCTAAATAGTTGACTATTTTTTAACATACTACTATATTATGAATGATAAATTTAATGATCAAACTTATAAATAAATTTAGGTAAGCATTTTATATTATTATACTTTGTGTTTATAGAAAAAGTATGTATAATCATACATGGATACACCCAAATAGGCAAAATTGAAGAGTTCTCAAAATTGAATAGATTTTTGTAAGGGACAGGATTGTCATTGTCAAATATTAGAAATCTAAATCTTAGAAAGCATTCATTAAACATTAATTTGTTTAAAGACAAAAAGACTTTCTAACAACACTATCAATTCCATTTCATGGAAGGCTATATGTTTATGATCATCTTTCTTGAGATTGAAACTTATTACATGCCATTTTATAGTGCTTAAGCATCGCCATCTTATGGTAAAATAAGTTAACTGAAAGTCAAGTTTACTCCTTAATTAAAAAAAAATTCTATATTCATAGGATGAATTATTTTCAGCATGCACTTACTTTTTCTCTCAGTTAATGGATCAGAATATTGGCAACATTAGTATTTTCTTTCAGCAAAGGAACGCAATTCACCACTAATTAATTATTTGTATTTTTACATTGATAGATTATCAATTTTCCTCTCAGTAAAATTAGGAAAATTATATTTTCTCAATTAAAATCTAATTAACAAGCTTCCAGTTCCATTTAGAAAACTCATGAATATATCACGTTGCCTATTTTAAGAGATATGAATTAATTTCATTTGTAATGGAGTGTCTTCACTATGGGCAATATGCCAAATCATCATTCATTCAATAAGTAAATTTTAAGAGACTGAAAGCTTGTAGGAATTCAATTATTGCTCAGATTCATACAGAAAGGACTGTTTCTGTGTAGGAAATTCCTGAGGGTGGCTGCTAGGTGGCATCTCTGTGCTTTTAAACTGAATGCATAGAGTTCAGTAATGACCTTGATAGCACAAGAGTACACCTCTTCTTCTTTTCAAGATTTTTAGCAGATACTGTTTGAACATTATAGCAATATCGTAATCCCTGTGAATCAGAACCATGAATTTCTCTGCTCTGCAATGCTGAACTACGAAGAAAAGAGAATATAAATGTGACTGTGTAGGTTTCAAACAGAAGATTTACACCAGAGTCAGACACTTAGGGAACAAGTTTAAAAGAGGCAGTAGGGACATAGTGACACATTGCAATGACTGTTGAACTTTAAAGCAGTTATTATACTTGTAGGATAAATGTATTGCAAAATGCCCTGGTAAGTTTAGTTTGAGATAGGAGCCATTATTTTCTTACCTAGAAATACATTAATAAACTTATCACCACAGTACTTGCTCATACTACAAGCATAAAATATAACAATGATTCAGCAATAATCTTCAACACCAAACTGTTCTTTCTGTTAACAAGCTGGCCAGTTAGAACTTTTGCCTTAAATAAGACAGATGCTTTTGTGGAGGACTGTGGGAGTCTTGATGGTGGGTGTGGTGTGGTAACATACATCTGAAGAGGTGTGAACCTGTACCTCTGAATCATAAAGTGTTATAAGCCAATTTTACCTAAATAAAAATTTAGTAGAAAGAGAATTGCTTTAAAGTTATTAGATATGATGAGAACTAGGAAAATTTTGTAATATAATATAATATTAATATAATATGCTTCATAATATAATATGTGTAAGTGACTTGTGTTTTGGTGTTACTAAAAATCATCAAAGACCTAAATTGGTGAGAGATGGCTTTTGTATGTAAATCTAGCTGAAGTTCTTGTTCTTACAATTTTAAAGTGAAACTGATTTTTAAAAAAGCAAGAGAAAGAAACTGAGATCACTATCCATTTGCTTTAAAATTCACCTAAAAAATTTACCTTCTTCTGTGTCTCCTATCTGCCAGAGAAATTCTCTTTAGAACTGGATCAATTCAAATTAGAACAGAAAATATGGATGGATGGCATTTGGAAAGACCCTATAATTACGTACCAGTCAGCCCTGATATGGTAAAAAGTGAAAAGTTCAAGGCAGCCCATTTATGTTTTGAAAGAGCAAATGACTTGCTATTCTCATTTTAACCTATCTCCTTACCACAATTACATTTTTATTTTGGAGAATGTAAATATTCTTTCTCATGGCAACTTGAAAAGTTTATAAGGGTACCACTTTCCTTTATTTTTCTTTAAAAATTATTTTTCCTTGTTATTTGCAAGTGTTCTCTTTCAAAAATGACTGCTGTGACAGCTGATGGATGTGCTGCTGGGAGGAAAGTAGCACAAGAGTGGGGACTATATGGGGCAGAATTCAGGGTCCCTAAATTCTCATCCCTGACTATATACATATATAAATGACTTTGGGAAGACTGTGATCTTCATGTCTTCCCCTATAAAATGAGGGCCTATATGTTCTTTTTAAAAAAAAAGATTTATTTATTCATGCATACAAGAACTGGGGTACAGGCCAGAGGTGCGGGGAATGGGGGGGGGGCAAAAGGATTCACCAGAGACAAAATGGGGAGCAGAACAGGCAGACTGACTGAAAAACACTGCTGAGGGGAGCAGCGGGCAAGACAGGAGAGGTCTGCTCGCCATGTGGGTCACCTCCCTGGCTAGGATGGAACTCGTGCTGCAGTAGCTGAGGACAGCTTCATAGTGCTGAAGCTAAAC